ATATATATATATATATATAATTATTAATTATATACAAATTTACCGCCTTAAATAAGTTTGACATTGCCACCAAGTCACGCCTTACGTTATTCAGAATATTGATAAATTTACTATGATAGTCAAGTTAAAAAAACTTAAAAAAAAAAAAATGGTAACATTCAACCAATGTTGTCAACATGGATTATGCAAGATATTTTCCACTTTGCAATATAGTTTGCAAGATAGTGATGACGAGATTAACAAAACAAAATAGTTATGTTTAAAATAGAAAAGTTTATCTACATCTATCTGCTCACAGGTTATAACAATTAAAATGTCAAGGTAGAAAACCAGAGTAAATTAGACTTTAAAGTTTTTAAGAACCAAAATTTGCAGTGGCACCAAGGCATAAAGCCATAAAGCAAAAACTATACGGTATTATATGCTTCATAGTTTATAGTGGATTAAGTAAAAAAACACAGTAATCAAGTGTAGGACTTGCAATTGCAGAAAAACCAAAAAAAAAAAAAAAAAACGCCGATTTCAAGATTAATGAACAAAAAAGTGCGAGGCCATGTGGAGCTTCGAATGATCTGCAATGTTTGATTCCAAACTGAAGGGACTACATTTTAAAGCTAGATTTCAAGCCACATGAACAAACATTTTAGGCACTACGTCGGACTTTTGAACTGATATAAGGTCAATTTTCTAATGTTCGAAAAGATGTTTAAAGTTTACACTTTTAGACGCTTAAACACAAAATTAAAGAGAAGAGATGCGTCCGGACTCCGGATCAGTATATAATCGTATGATTCTACGCGCGATACTATATAATACATAATAATTGTTTTAATTCACTTTTTAGATATCTTTATTTCTCATTATACACGTGAATTAACCAATCATTCATTTGTTCTGAGACAGTATAAGTAACATCCACATTCCACAGAATGAAAATCTTAAATTCTATAAATGAATTTACTCATAAAAACAACAAAATCATGATATTAATTAGCTGAATATACAAGTAAATAGAAACAGAGTCATATAAAGTCCCTCCTTTACAAAATCACCAAGCTTAAGTTTTCAACCAATCAGTCTCAATCTTCTATTGTCATCAATAAGGTTACATTACATTAACATACATACATACACAAAAAATGGACTAAAGTGAATGAGTACTTGGAAGATATCAGAAAATCCTTCACAGCTCACGCTTCCCATCATTATAAGAGTTAAATTAGGCATCAATAATAATAGTCACCTGTTTTTGTTTTGTGGCGATTTATACTAATCCTTTTAAGTTTTAATATAAAAGCTCGTGTCTTTAAGCAGCATCAACCATTCTAAGCTCATGTTTCTTGCGTCGACACCTGTGATGAGCTTTTTGCAATGTATTCTCACCAATTATCTCCATACTTTGTGCATCTGATGCAAAAAAAGGATAGACATTACAAGACCATCAGAAAGAAACTAGTGTGAAAATATTTCTGCATTTGCAGCATAAAATAAAAAGGAGCAAATTTAAGATTGATGATAGCGTTGAGTATCTTTGTGATGTTAAAATATCAGCTTATGACACTCTCATTATATTTAAACAAATGAGCCACCAAAAAAAGGTATGCTAGCTAGCCTAATATGTTAAACATTATGGACTAAGCATGTAGTTTGTGACTGATGAGGAATTGAAACAGAGTAAACAAACAATGGATGATTGATAGAGAAAACAGGAATCGATATTGATGATTGAATGAAACAAAATAAAGAATACAATCTCCTGATAGGATGATTGCCCAGGGATGAATCCCTCTCTCAAAGCGTAGCCAATGAGCCAATCTCACTCTAGAGACTAATAAGAATCTAAGATATTTCTGCCTGTCTAACAATGCAATCCTACCCTCTATTTATTAGCAGACCTCTAACAAACTCTATTTAGGAATTACCCTTTTACCCCTTTAAGTATTTAACTATCTAATTCCTATCAGTGACATTGGATAGGCCCTCGTTGATTTTCAAATGATATACAAGGAAAAAGATACCATATGCTATTGCTAATATGCTAAATCCGTTCAAGAATGGTGAATGGTCATTCATGTGGATAAAGTTCATAGTTAAATCTGTAGATGAAATAGAGATATCCCTTGAAATTATTGGTATTGGATAGCCATGGCAGGCTGATGAGATGTGTTCAATAGGTTCACGCTGAATATTGAAATACAGGTCACGGACTCGGGATTGTATATAAGTAAACAAAGGTCCTTAACATCACATGCATCCTGAACACGGATTGTGCTAACAACAACTGTAAAGATAGGAAATGAACAATGTACCTCCAAATCTATTGCCCCAGAACAACAGCCTTGAATCATCCTCTTCTTCGTCCAACTCGTCACCATATCCGAACTCAGCATCCCCTCTATAACCAGGTTCACTTCCGTACCCTGATTCATTACCCTGATTATCCAAATTCCCATGATGATGATGTAATCCCATATAACTGTTTGACATCTCTCTATCTCCACCACCACTACTTTCTCTGCGCAAATTCCTAGCAGCTGCCTCACTTGCATCCGAAGTCCAATTCACATCCCCTCCGCCTCCACCATTCACAAACAACTCCCCACTGGAATCCGTCCCGGCATTATTCGCCATCATGAAATCTGAACAGGTACCATACGCATTCGAAGCACCAACTGAACAACACCTCCGCCGTGTCCCACTCCTATCACTACTCCTACCAGAAACAGACCTTGATCCACGTCTTCGCCTCTTCTTAGCCATCCAATGGATCCTCTCGCGCTTCGATTTCACAGACGACCGTGAACCATCGTCGTCAAATAATGACAACTTAGACATATCGAGGTTTTCAATAGCGAACGAGGTTGCCCGATCGGAGAGGCAAGGCCGTTTGTGAGGTTTAGCAGAAGATGTCGGGTTACTATTGTTAATGTTATCGGATTTTTCTAGGGTTTTGTTGAGTGTGGTGGGAAGATGAAAAGGTCTCCAGCTATTAAGCTGGAACGTGCAGGTATCTATGGCATGACGCGAACTTCCTATGGTTCTTGGGGACATTGACGTAGACGACGATGGTTGTAGATCAAAATTAGGGTTTGGGAATCGAGGAAATTCAATGGTGAAATGGTGAGAGTAACACAAGTAGGATTTCTCTCACCTTCCGAATAAAATGAGCACTTTAGACGGAGAAAGCCTCTCCAACCAGACGCACACATAATGTAAGTCGCTAAACAAGCCCCTCAACTTTGAAACAATGTGTTGAAATACTCCAAAAGTTTACAATAATGAGCTAAAAAGCCTTTATTTCCAAGAATAAAAGGGTTTTTCAGATAAGCTTGACTATATATATCGAAAACATATTGTTTATCAAGTCTACGAATAGGTGTGATGACAGATGAACGATAAAAATAACTATTTGAACACTCTAAACCATTTTGTAATGTAATGAAATGACCATGTTTGTTAAAATATTTGAATAAATTTGTTGAGTAATTATAAAAGTTACAAATAATCATATAAATTTTAAATTAAACATGAATCCTTTAAAATCCATGGAAATGTCTACTGAAATTTTGCAAAAAACATAGAGATATAACTAATATACTAAAATTTTGCAAAAAACATACATAACAACCAATGATAAATTGTACAAAAGCCATATAAATCAAACCACAAGTATATCATCAACACCAATATGGTTTTATATTTTATAGGTTGTCATTCTTGCATTATATGGGAGTATGTATGGTGGAAATTGCTACCATGTATGGCTTTATTTGTCCTCGGCGATTATCTTTCTTAATAGTTTTTATGCTACCATATTTCATGTTTATTTTCAAAAGGGAATTGTTTACCAAAACATCAAATTCTAATAATAAATTGTACAAAAGTCATACAAATCAAACCACAACTATACCATCAACACCAATATGTTTTATAGGCTGTCATTCTTGCATAATATGGGATTACGATGGAAATTGCTACCATGTATGGTTTTATTTTGTCCTCGACGACTATCTTTCTTAATAGTTTTTATGTTACCATATTCCATGTTTATTTTCAGAAGGGGATTGTTGGCCAAAACATCCAAATCTAATAATAAATTGTACAAAAGCCTTACAAATCAAACCACAAGTATACCATCAACACCAATATGTTTTATAGGTTGTCATTCTTGCATAATATGAGAGTATGATGGAAATTGCTACCATGTATGGTTTTATTTTGTCCTCGATGACTATCTTTCTTAATAGTTTTTATGCTACCCCATATTCCATGTTTATTTTCAAAAGGGAATTGTTGACCAAAACATCCAACTCTAATCCATGTTTTGTATCAATGTGATGAATGATCCTATCGTTTATAAGTGATTTTACAGGAATGTAGGCACTATGGTTATGGTAAGTGAAACAACATCAACCTCAATAACCAATTCTACCATCTCATTGAGCAAGTCAATAGCCAATGCATATTTATGTACAATTGCTTTTACTAAAATATTGCATATAAATAATGGAGAGAAATCATGAAATTTGATTTCACCAAAATAATGAGAGGATGAACCTCAACCAAAACATTGAATTCACCAAAATAATGCACATGAATCACCAAATTTAAACAAAACTTTCTCTAATTCTCTAAATCATAAATCGCAACCCCTAATTCTTATAAAACATTCAATTTTATAATGTCTTAAGGACCTATTGTTGTTGGTATGAAGTTAACTAATGCATCGAGTTCTTTTCTCCCTATTAGAAAGGAAATAATAATTTGAAACCTAATTGCTCATACCTTCGTTCTTTATTATTTCCACTTACCACTTTATTTATGGAGTATATAAATATGTTAAAACCATAAAATATTCATACAACAGTTGAACTAATTTATTTATTATATAAAAAAAAACTCCATGTGTTTAGCTAAGCACCCCAGGAAAGATAAATTAGTTGCAACATTGTATAGAGGTAGTAAATGGCATTGCGAAGACGAAAAATGCTATTGTTGGTTTGATCTTAGCATATTTCCTAATTTTCACTATAATCTTATTGACTTCTATCATGGTGGAATATATCAGGGGTTGTTTGTTTACCTCTTAATTGAGAAATTAAGAGGCAGCCTCTTAAAAATTCAGATATAAGGTGTTTGGCAGCATCTTATTTGTTACCTCTTAAACTCAAAAAAACCTCTTAATTTTTCAGACTTGACATTGTATCTGAAAAAATAAAATGGCACGCTCTTTCCCGTTTTGCCCCAAAGCGCATTCCCTCTTCTCTATTCTATTTCACGAGACAACATCTTCTTCCCTCCTAACCATCTCCGGCGACCTGCAACCCTCCGCCACTACTCTCGCCACCGGCCAGTCACCGCCTCCGCCAGAGTCGTTGGCTGCGCTGCCGCCTGCTCCGCCCTCCATCCCCGTTAATCTCGTCGACAACAACATCAAGTAATGATTCTCTAAAAACAAATTTTGCTAGGGTTAATTTCTGAACCTATTTCTGAAATCGATGTGATTGATTGAAGTCTACACTTGAAATCGTGATGCTCTTTTGGGTCTTTGTGGTTTTTTATTGTCATTCTCTTTTCGGTATTTATCTTTTTGGTGTGCTTGGTTGAAGTCTACACATGAAATTGTTTTCCCCCTAATTTGTTATTACATTTGACACATGATTTTGAAGATTGATTCCTTTCCATCGGCTGTTAGAATTGTTATTTTCATGAAACCTGCTATGGTGTTTTCTAGTATCGACAAGTGTATTTTTGGAATCAATGGTCTTGATTTTTGCTGATGGAAAGTTGTTTTGATCGTGAATCGTTAGTATCAAATCACAGGTTTTAAATATTTATTGATTTATTTTTGCAAATGGGTATTTTACCGAGACACGTGCCCAAAATTGTTGAGCTAAAAGCAAGCCTTCTTTTAGTTCATGAAGGGAATGATGTGAAGAAATACTTCATCAGCACTGGGTTTGGTTAACATGTTGATGTGTTGTGATGATTGCATAACAAGTCGATGTGAAGATACTTCATGAAGCTGAAGATCTTGCTGACAATTAATTATTTTTTATAGGTTACAAAATGGTTGGTTTTCACATGGTGACATTAGACAGGGATGAAATTTGGCTGATCAGACTATTGTAACAAGAAGTAGCATTATATTTCTAGTTATTAGATTATTATTGCATTGTATTTCCTATTAAAATATTGAAAATAGAATGCTAGAATTGGTTGAAAGTTGTGACATCCTCATTTTTCACGGCCAGAAAAGACCGATTTTGTTTATGCTTTATAAAAATTAGAGTAACTATTTTAATAAAAATGTTGCGGAATTTGTTCCAAAAAAAACATGATAAATACGTTATCAAAGCATTTCCGAAGAAATGTATTTTTATTCATTTTAAAACATTTGGGATGTCATCGTCAATACAGAAACATAAGCATAATAAGAACTTACAATCATTTACACTAGTGATCTACATCTCTTTAATCTCTCAGTGTAAAGCAGCTTCGTATCGACACCTGTGATGCAAATAAGCTTGAGTGGGTCAGGTTGGGAAACCCGGTGAGCACATAGGGTTTTCAACCCACAATAATATAACTATATTATATTTAATCATCAAACAATTAACCCAATTACTCATTATCTTCCTTATTCTTAAGGATCTACCCTAAGAATCAACTATTCCTCGTTCATTCATTCCTAAGGATCATCCTAACGAATCGGCACGAAGTCCATCGTTGCCATAGTTTACACAACGGGCACTAAGTCTGCATAGTCGCCATGGTTTAGGCACCAAGTCTGCATGATCGCCAGGGTTTAGGCACCAAGTCTGCATGATCGTCAAGATTCGGGCACTAAGTCTGCATAGTCGCCCGAGTTTAGAGTACACCGGGTGAACACATCGTTCACAACACCTACAGGTTGCGAGCCTGCTAGTGTTCCACTGGACTGTCTAGAATAGTCTGTGGTTGTCATCCATACTCTGCTAGATGACGGGTCCAACGCTTGGGTAAAAGGTCCCTCATTGTTCACCTTCCACCCTATCTAGTGGTCTATATTCACCTCTCATCTCATCATCCAACTCATAATTCATCTACCTATGTTTTACCCAACATATTTTGTAGATATAAAGTACATATACAGTTTAAACATTTAAAAACATGTATAAAATCGTTCATCCATATAGTAGCAAGTATACAGATAATATGCCACATAGCACATAATTTATATAAAATACTTCATATCTATATGTAAGATGAAAGTAACTATGCACTCACCTGATAAGGTAATGACTCAGTACTCGGACAGCGCTTCGTTACTCTTAAAACAATTTTCCTTTGACAAAACCTAGTATCATACCACTAGAGTTTAGTCAATATTCCGGAGACTAATATAGTCTAGCTATTATTACTATTATATAAGCGTTAAACAATACTATTCAACCACATTATAGGACATGGCCAGACATGGAAAACCGGAGGGCATGATCATTTTGGCATATAGCACTTCTGAATCCAGCAACCCAAGCGGCCCTCCAAACCAGATTCCCCGTACCGCGAGTGGTTAAAAAGATATTATAACGACACTGTAACGCCCCGATTCCCAGGTATTGTTTAAATAAGAATTTAATTGGTTTCAAGGCCTACTCGACGAGTTGGTTGCCCTACTCGTCGAGTAGCAAACGGGTTTGGTACGCGTGTTTAGTGACCTACTCGCCGAGTCCATGAAGGGACTCGACGAGTAGGAGCTGGCAGAGGAAACCCTAAATCCCGGGGTTTTGCACCCTATTTAAGGAAGCATAAGCCTCCTTTGGCCTCTTTGCAGTTCTAGAGAGCTTTGAGAAACCCTAATTAGTGTGGTGCTCTATTGTGTGTGTATTAAGCTTGGGAGGAAGATCTTTGGAGAAGAGGAACTTGGAAGGTAAGGGAATTGGAGCAAGGGAAGTATGGGAATCAAAATCTACCTCAGTTAGCATCTTCCAGAGGTATCAAGTCGCCACCTTTACTTCTTTTCCCTTCTAGATCTCTTTTTGGTTGATTTTGGGGCTTTTATGGATCTTTGAGTTGATAAGGTGGACTATGGGCTAGATCTGAAGTTGTAACTTCAGATCTGGATCCTTCTTAAGTCCTAGAGTCATAAACTTTCTGGTTTGGGCGTGAATGAAACCTCTTTGAGTATGAAACCCCCAT